GTCAGTAACCGAATCACTGACGGTCATCTATTGCTAGTTGAGGAAATCATCAATTAAGAAACGGAAAATGAAAACAAATTGAATTACTTAATGCATAATCTTTTAATTGCGTAGTAAATTAACTTGGATAATTTATTTAAAAACGATTTTTTACAGCTGGATGAGCAATCGAATCAATACGAAGACGAGCGGAGCGTTTTCATTCCAAAATGCATTTTTCTATCTTCAATGGCCTGATGACCCTTGGGTCACGTCCAGTAAAACACAGCCAGAAGCAGGTCTAATAACTTTGAGGAAAACTCGAAGAAGATCAAAACTTCATCCCCATAAACAACGCTCAAAATATATCTGTAAACCACGCGAAGTTATTGAAGCTGGTAATCACTTTGTTTGGGAATTTTTAACTGGTCGTGGTACTTTGAATGTACCTCCAGATGCTGCAATATTACATCATTATCGAGTCTGTGAATTTGGTGGAGATGATTGCATAAAAACACCATCAGTCATTGACAGAACAGCTTACAAATATCGCGAAAAGCTGTCAGAAGTTGTTGATAAAACATGGGGGGAAATTGGAGTGAATTGTGCTCTACCAGAGCTCGAACCAGTGCCAGTTTTATCGCCACTTGTACCGAGTAGTCCAGATCACATTCCAACGAGGTAGCAGATAAATTGGTTCTGCAATAGCATTTTTCAAGCTTTGACAATTTCATACTTCAACTTGTGGAAGAGAGTGACAAAAGGAGAAAAACTAGAGTTATGATTTTTCATTTTCATTACATTTGCATCCTTTGTGATTCTGTTTTGCAAATTACGTCATTAATCAAGTGAGATCAACGAGTTGAACTAATTAGGAGAAGAAAAACAGCAATGAATGTTTAGAAACAAACTGGTATTGATTATAGGTATAAATTCACTTCTTTCTCACTGATAAATTAACGCGGCTCAAGGGTAACTGCTTATATTGAAAAAACTTAAAAATACGCGTGACAGCCTCTAATTTTTATACACCCAAACATATTCAGAAATCTTTTTATTTAAAATGCATGTAGTTGAATTAAGACTGTCAAATGTCTTTCCCAGATCACAGAATGACTCTCCAAAATGATAAGCGCGTCGTTGAAAATCATTTAATTATTATCAAATTCAATATCAAATTAATTCTTTCGAAAAGAATAATTCCTTTCGTTGTTTAAGGACGTAATAAATTTAGTATAAAAAGCATGCTTGCCCAGGTAACTAGAATTTCAAGTCCATTCGATAATCCTCATTATTATTAGCTATTTTTTTTTGCATTGCTCACACTGTTTTTTTATTTTTTGGAGAATCCCACTTGACAGTTTATTAATCGACGAATTGCTAAATACCTAATTTTTCTGTTTATGTTCATTTAAACATGAAGAAATGTTGAAAGTTATAGACGGAACAATTGTTAAGGGATATATCATCTCAGTATCCCCTGCATTATTCCCTCCACTCTTTCACCACCTACAGTTGAAACAAATCATGTTTTTTATCCTGCGAAAAAATGAAGTAAATCAGAATGCAAATGTGAGTTACTTCGACATCTGAACTACTATTAATTTATCTTTCGATGTCGCCGGTTATGTTAAACTCGTGGCAGAAGAGCTCCCCCCATTTTTCACCAGGAAAAAACATCAATGATCTATT